AGAAATTGGTGCACAATTAACAAAACTTCATTTCTATTATAAATTTCATTTCTATTATAATGAATATGCTACTGGCAAAGTATGAAATCCGACATTCTATAGAATGCTGAAAACTGGCCGACAGTATATGAAATGATTAAACATTTCACATTGCATAGGCATTTTATAGAATGCCGGCAAAGTATGAAATACATCTATGTTTCTTTTCGAATAACCGAAACCACTTACCAGAAGTTAATAAATGATTTAAAAAGCCAAAGTGAAAGCTAAGAAGGAACCACGGGACTATTGGTTGCTGAATCATTATAATGTGATGTTTGTGGAAAACAAAAGTAAACTCATTTGTCCTGTTAAAGAAGCATCAGTTATTTCACGTACTTCATGAAATTAATTTGGGTGTTAGGCAAGGAGGCCGTGGCAGAATGTTGAAGGAACTTTAAACCAAATACAAAAATGTTATAAGGAATAATATGGAACTGTACATCCAAATTTGTGAGACCTACCAAAAAAAAAAAAAAGTATTAAAAAGTGCTTTATTGTGAAGCCTGTGACTTTTCTGAATTTAATTCCAGTTGTCAGGTAGATCTTATCGAATTCCAGTCAGAAAAATAAAACAAATTTATCATAGTGCACCAAGGTCATCTCACTAATTTTTTTACGTATTTAGAATAAAAGATTTTAATGGAAATCTTTCATTATTTTTTCAAAATAGCATTTGTATTTTTCAGGAATGTTCGTCTTTTAAATAACAGCTTATTGTGACTTTTTTTTCATACTTTGCCTAAAGCGCATTATTCTATATAATGCCTAGGTGTTATATACAGTGCCTAAGTAAAGTATGTAATAATTCTCAAATTTCATACTTTGCCTAAAAAAAGTCAGGCATTCTATAGAATGCTGGTAACATATATAATGCATAACTTGAACATCAGTTTCATAATTTTGATTCATTTCAAATTAAAATATTTATTCCAGTATATGTAGATAGTAGCTATTAAGTTCCAACTACTTTACATTATAGTGCCTTCCTAGTACATATGCTCATGTATGATCAGAATTGATATATTTAACAATTGATTATGATTATTTAACAATTATTAGCGAGATTATTTAGGTGGGTAAATAGGGATTTATTTTGAAGTATCACCTTTTGTATTTCCCTTTTTAACTTGTAGCTTAGTATCAAAAGAGATTCCTGGTTAAAAGTTATTTCAAAAATTGCAACAAAGTACACACTCTACTGAATAAACCAATAAAAGTATTGTTACGTTTTTCTTTTCTTCTGACACCAGTTGTTATGTTATTTTCTTCCTTCATGTTCGTATGGGGTTCGTGTGGATTTGGAGTGAATAACGATACACTTTATTTACCTAAACACACTTTATTTACCAATATTAATCACATAGCTCCAAAATCACTTTTACAGTCATTGAACTGTCATAAACACACTGACACGTTCAGCGACACAGCCTTCACACTGTCAGGCAATAATGGTGGAGATAGCTTCACTTGCAAAGCACTCGAGTATAGCTCCCGACTCTGCTTGGTCGTTCTCGGAACTCCACGTACTCTCGAGACTCTCCACGCGATGCATTCGACGATACACAAGAGTATAGCTCTCGACTCAGCACAGTCTAAGACAAAACTTGACGATGCACGAATTCTCGATGCACTCGACGACCAACTCGGCGCTAGACTTTGAGACACTCGCTCAATGACTGACTATCAGCTCGCAAGACAAGGCACACACACACGCCCTCTCGACGAGGCAGACACTCTCGGTACTATCTTGCACTTTACGAGGCACTCTCATTCGCTCTTTCGACGAGGCACACACTAACTGACTACGGACCAGCAGGGTTTATATAGCTTTCGGCTTGTGTTCAAGAACATTCTGGGCTAAAATGGTAAGAATTCGTTTGAGAAGGTTCTCTATCCGTCCATGGCACATCGTCAATTATATCACAAGTGGGTGATTTCTCGCCAAATGTGGCAACCCTGCCTTCCCTAAAACTGCTTTGCGGAGAAGCCATCTTACAGCACATGTACATTTTGTAACAGTATATTCTTGCATTTCTCCAAATGTTGTCTTTTTAACCTGAAATCATTATTTTTTACTTCTAAGATATTTTACACAACATCAGTAGTCTCGTCTCTGACAAATCAAAGAGAAATGGGAAGAAAGACAGTTGAACAAATTGCACATTTGAGATATTGATTGTTATACTTTGCTATTTTTATTATTTGTAGCATTCATATATATATTTATATATATATATATATATATGTGTATGTAACATAAAAATATGTAAATCAAAATACTACCTATAATTTGCAACAATCCCTTAACTCTTTATTTTAACTTGAATGGCTCCCTTTTCCACCCTTTATATACTGCAAACAGAAAGTCAACCGACTGATGCCAAATTTTTTAATAGCCGATGAGAGGATTGCAAACCAAAACTACTCCTTTTGAAATTATTCGGTTTTGCTTGCTAGTTAGACCTCTGCTCTGTGTGTCTTTAAAATTATAATTTTTAAATATAATGATATTGATTTAGTTCTTAAGAAACAAGCGTTATATTTTTGGAATACAGTATAGTAAGAAAACAATATTATGTATTTAAATTTCAAATAACATTTATTATTTAATAAATTACTTGCTTCATAGTAATGAAAAACATTTAGCTTTCATTATTAGCAAAATAACATTAAATATGCTCACAAAATTTAAAAATTCAAAAACTATTTAAAGAAAATATTGAATTATATATTTATTCATTGAGCACTAATTTTAATGATTTTTCAAAGCAGCACAGTCAAATTTTGGAACTTTTAAACTAAATTTAGATGTAAAATGTAAAGAATACTTAATAATTTTGTTTTAATGTAGCATATTTTATAATTTTGTTTCACTGAAAAATAAAACTGATTAATTTCACTCAAAATGTAATAGTTTTGAGTTTTTGATGGATGAATGTGACTTAAATTACAAAGAGCAGAAGCGATGAAAAGGTCTGACATATGGTATGTAAACATATATGAATGATTTTTAAAGTACTTAAATGCTGAATATCTTAAATATTAAATAACTGTGATGATTTAAAGCACACGATTTTTTGGTAAATAATGAAGAGATGGCTGACAAAATTTTCAGACTGAATTAGCTAGTAAAATAAAGTAGTAATGCTATATTTTATTTTACTAGATATCAGAATTTTTATATTTGCAATTAGATGAACAAACACATGAACACTTAGAGCTTTTGAACTCGCTTAATTTAATTCTGTACATAAGCCTTACATTTGAAATGCTGCATGTAAATAAATCCATCCTGTTAGACTGGATATATTGATTTGAAAACTGCTGATGAAAGATGTTGAAATGTAATTGAAAAGAAAACTTCATAGCTGGTTTTAGATGTTTCTTTTTTATTTAAAGGTGACACATTTTTCAATCAATTCAGCCTAAAATAACTTGTTACAACCATGTACATTTATTAAGATAAATCAGTACAGTCACATTTTAAAAATATAATTTTTAAAGACATACAGAGCAGAAATCTAGCAAAATATTCTAAACTAGAGTCCTAGTTCCAAAGGCAAAAGGTTTTGCTCTGCAGTTCTCTCATTGGCCATTAAAAGTTTTAATATTGATTGGTTGACTTTCAATTTGCAATAGGTAAAGGATAAAAAGGGGGAATTTTACAAAATAAAATAGAGTTCAAGGACTTTCTCATTATCCTTTAATTTTAAAGACCAGTGTATATGCTTTTCTAGAATTTTTTTAAAGATTATTTATTAAATATTACTGTTTTAACAGTTGATTAATAAATAATATTATTTATTGAAGACAGTAGTTAAACATTTGTCTAAAATAATTAGGCTTGTGAACTATACTTCAGCTTCAAAATAACTGGTACTTGTCATGCACTGAAACTCGTGGTCTATAGTTTTTTTATATTGAAGGTAATGAGTTTTAGTTAAAAAGTGCAAATATAGAAGAGGAGATACATTAAATTCTGTATAAAATCACTGAACATTTCTATGAATTATACCCCAATATAGTTTTTTAAATTGAAAAAGTAATAAAGCTTGGTGTCAATTTGTTTGAAGTTCAAATTTTTGTGTATCTGTGACAATGATTAAAGTGTGATTGTTATGCAAATTTGCATTTTTTAGTTTTGTATTATTATTTGAAAAATCATTATATAATTTTACTGAAGCAAAACGCCTAAACAGGAAACTGAAGTTTTGAAAAGTGAAAATGTTATTCTGATAAACATGTTAAATATATAGACAAGAGACCAAAATTTGTATCAAAATTAGCATATAATTTCTAAATGCATGTGATTCCTTAAACTGCTGTTTACTTTAGTAGCAACTCCCTCAGCAAGTTATTAAATTTTGCTAGACCCCATTTCATTGTAACACCACAATGAGAGAATTGCCCTGGGTACACTATAAGGGTAAACTAATATTGTACCTGCAAAGAGATAGGGGATGTATCTTTGTCTTACCTATGATTTAAATCCAGATCCACTAATATGGTAGCTATAATCCTGTAAAAACATCTATGTATTAAATTTCTTTAACGAGTTGGCCATCCGCTCTTTGATCAAGGATTCTGTATATGCACGTGAATATATTTGCATTTGCAAATATGTATATAAAAGAAAAGCTCATAATGATAATAAAGTAATAATATCTAAGCATATAAATGTTATATATTTACATACTATAAATAAAATTTTATTCATGTTGATGAATGCTTTTATGTGTGATATTAGAGATGTTTTATCACACAGGTAATATTTGGAAATTCATCATTATCTTTATAAATTAGTTTGACTGATTTTTTCATATTTGCTGTATAAGAAATGTTAAATTTTGTAACGGGATTTCTAAAAATGATTATTAAATTGCAAATATTTGTTAATTATTTTTCTTAATAGTCATGTATTTATTGACAGTTTATATTGAAACATTTGTATACTTTAGGTGCTGTTTTTAGAAGAAAATGATGATTATTCATCATTTGTCTCAGAATATGAAGACGGTGAATTTCCTGTGTTCTTTTGTCGATACAGATTTACAGGACGCAGAATATTGCCTGTTATGAAAAGTGATGGCACACCGTGCTCTAAAAGTATTTCTTTAACTCCGAAGCAGATAAGTGCATCTGAAGTAATACACCCAGAAAGAAAAGAAAGTATGCATTTTTTTTTTTTTTTTGAATTTCTATTTTTTTGTTAGAATTTCTATTTTTTTGTTAGATGCATCTCTTGATGAATGAATAAGATATTTCAAACACTAAAGAATTTTTTATTTGACATACACTGATGAGTCAAAGCATTATGACCAAGTATAAAAACTAATTATTCGCCGGGTTGGCATCAGATCAACGATGTGTCTATGTGGAATGTTTCGGTTTGAGATGTGTGCCAAGCAGATACGCAGTAACGAAGCCAAATTACTGATTGTATGAATTTATGCTAAAATGATTGTTTCTTCAATTACAAAATATTTTATTTACTGTCGAAGTGAAATTAAAAATCAGGACTCTCCAGATGTTTTATTATGTGCAGAGGGGGGAATCAAATGCACATGCATAAAGGCTACGAAAAAACGTTGCTGGTGGATTTGAGGTCTGGATTTTAGATCATTCCGGATATTGGACGTACGGATTTCGGACTTTGTATTGTAATATATTTTTTCGCAAAAGAAACTCAGCTAATTGGAACAAAAATCAAGTTACAACACACTCGTTTCTGCTAATTTCTATGTACATGAGAAAGAGGAAAAATTTTCAAAAAGAATAAATAAACATTATGGGAGATTCGGGTAACAAATCATTCTAATTATTAGATCTCCGGATTTGGGATTTCGTATTGTATGGATCTTTCAGAAGAAAGATCTTTTCGTGGCTTATCTCATCTGTCAGACATAATTCGAATTTTATAGTGGCAACAAATACAAGATAGCGTATGTCTTTAGCATGGGTTTCGAAGACAATACAGGTCTAGTTCTGCCCCAATTTTGATGGAGAGCAACCCGGGTACAGGCCTAAGTGTTTCCAGTTCGTCATCCTCTACCATCAAACTTCTGGAGAAGGACTTTCAGCTCACCATGTATTTTGAATGCCCCCTTAGATACTGTTAAGTTAGAATACAGCGCCACCTATTGTATATAGAGAGAAATGCTCATTTGGCTATCAGTATTCGGCTAAGCAACATGCCAGAGCATGTATTAGTACAGAATGTAGTAATTACTATTAATAAAATGGTTAGTTCTCTATTTATACAGTCCACTCATTAGTTTATAATTATAGAATCCAAATACATGTTCAACACAGCTGGAGAGGAGAACAAAAGGCTGGCACTGGATCGACATAAAACATTGCTAAAAGCAAAACTAACTAGGTTAGAAAACATTGTGAAGGAATATGATGGGAATGGGAATAAGAAGAAATTCAAATAAAGCATAGATCCCTTCAAAAAATATTGAAATGAATATTAGAAACTTACGAAATAGATATTTTGAAAGTGTTGATGAAAAAGATGTCACAGCCATCGATGAAGAAATTACTGAAATGAAAGTACTAGAGGTAAGAATTATGAAAATTCTATCATCTATCACGCATTCTGAACATGAAAGTGACTGTAGTAAATCTGATTCTAAAGTACAAATACAGAATTACCAATTCTTAAATTTTGTGGTAAATATACCTATTGAAATACTTTTAAGCTGCAGTTCAAAAACATTATAGCGAATAATACTCCATTAACAGAAGTTCAGAAACTCTACTATTTAAAGGCAGCATTAATTCTTGAAGCAAAAAATCTTGAAACTGTTGATGAAACAATTCTCTATTTAAAGCTCTTCAGTCTTGAAACTGTTAATGAATTCTGTTGAAAGTGTTGATTAAACAGTTCTCTATTTAAAACTCCTCAAGATAGGTATGAAAATAAAAGAATATTAATTGAGATGCATATAAAGTCAATAATGGACAATTATTTAGCATTCAAATCGTCTCAGGTAATAAGACATGTAATGGAAAATGTTACTGAAAACATTACGACTTTGAATGTTTTAAAGTATGAGAAAAATAACAGCCTGTTATTAAATATCATACTTCAGATACTAGATTATGACATGCATGAACAATTTAAATAAAGCATTAATGCTACAGAAGTTTCTACAGCTGATGAATTAATTTCATATTTAGAGAAAAGTTGAAAATTATTAGATAACACTAACTGTAATACTAATAAAGTAAAACATCTATTAGGAAAAGGTTCGAAATCAAAGGCTCTGATAGTTAAAACCGAGAGTGCTCCCTCTTAAGCGATACATAAAAATAATAATCATCCACTACATAAACGTGACTCATTTTAAAACTTAAATCCAAGTCAAAGATAAGAAATAGTTAAAAATAATAAATTGTGTTTTAACTGTCTCAGTAAAGAACATTTAATCACAAATTTTAATTCTAAGTTAAGATGTTCTGAACCCCACAAAAAACATCATTCATTAATCCATCCCCTGCTCAGAAACAGACAAAGCAAAAATGGAAACACCCAGTGACAAGATTATAAACAAAAATGCAGATGGCTCTCATAAAAATCAATCAAGTTATCTTTTGATAGGGAGAAAAAAAATATATTATTAGGGACTGCAAATAGTATCATAATTCAAAAGGAAAAAGAATTCCAGTTCACACTATCCTTGATAATGGCAGCATGAGCTGTTTTCTATGTGAAGGAGTTGCCAATTTATTAACATAAAGAAAGAATTTATGCATGTGTATCCAGAACAAATGATAATGCTATAAATATTATCAGCTAGAAGTGCAGATTTCAAATAACATACGTAAGATCACTTAACTGTTTAATTTCTAAAATAACCAATGTAACTCCATCAAGGAGTTTAGATGTGCAGTCATTAAATATTCCCATGGATATTCAATTAGCACATCCACAGTCTGGAACTCCTAATAAAATAAACATCTCCCTGAGCAGGGGATGGATTGTTCTAGGGGCCGAATTGTTCTTTGAAATTTTAAAACTAGGAATATTTCAATTAGAAAATCAACCATTGATATTCAAAGAAACAGTTTTGGGATATATTGTGGCTAGTACATACAAGAGTAAGGAAATTATTGTAGTTTAGTTCGGAATAGTGAAGAAAAGCTTGATAAAATTTTGCAATGATTTTACAAAATTAAATCAACTGAAAATATCAAGCATGCTTTCAGCGAAAAGAAAAATAGCGTGAAGAGCATTTCAAGTGTACTCACTACAGAGAAAATGACGGAAGATATGTAATTCAGTTACCCATTAGGGAAAGTGTAGAATTAGGAGAATCAAAAAGACTGGCTGAAAAAAATTGCAACAAACGCAGAATCAACTAGATAGTATTGGAATATGAAAACATTATATAAGAATTTTATCAAGGAATAGAAAGATTTAAATCACATGGAAGAAGTTCAAGGAACTCAAACATCGACTTGCAATAATCTCAGTCATCTCGGAAGTTATCTCCCTGAAAAAAACCTTTACTAAGCTTCATGTGTTTAATGCATCAACTGCTATTAGTAATGGAAAATTACTTAATTCAATATTAATGAAAGAGCAAATACCTGAAGAAAATTTATTTTCTATTATTATTAGGCTACAAAAGTACAATAATGCACTAGGAGCTGATGTTCAGAAGGTGTACAGAAAAATACTTATTGAACTACCTCAAAGAAACCTGCAGTTGATCTTAGGAAAGAATCAGTTGGTAGCCCTACGCAAACTTATCTTCTAAGGACTGAAACATATGGAACAGAAAATGCACCATTCCTTACAACAAGGGTTCTGAAGCAGTTAGCAATGGATAAATATGTCAGATAACAGCACTAATATGATTGGTGCACTAATATGATGGCGTTTGGATTACGGAGTACCTTTGCAATTAATTGCAATTACCTCCACATCATCGTTCAGAAAAATGAATTAAATAAGAGAGAAGCATTCGCTAAAGTTGATGAAAGATCAGATAAGCTTAAGTCAGGAATCACTAAGAGTCCTCTTGTTAGGACACAGGAAGAGAGTACAAGAGTTTGTCACAATTGAAGGTGTTTAGCCCCCCGTCGTGAGTCAACTTCTTGCATTCAGTAACAGAAGAGAATGCAACCGGGGCGCGAAGAATGTGGATGGTTGCCATGGAGACAAAACAGCTGATGGCGTGAGGCACAGTTGAAGAAGAACCGGTCCTCGGAAAAGGTAAGGTATTGAATCCAAGCGTTTAGCTAAGAGACTTGGGATGGTCGGAGCGGGGACAAACGGGGTCACTGACTGAAGAAGGAGAAAGAGGCGAAATAGCACGGTCGTGGAGAGTTCGAATCAAAGTTAACTGGCTGAATAACTGGAGGAAGCTTAGAGCAGCGAAGAACCGAGGGGAGAATTTTGAGTGCAGGAGAAGTAATGCGTGTTTCGCGAATTTAGTTAAGTATTGAATCTGGAGAGTAGCTTAGTGTTGTAATAGACAGCAGTATTGTGCTTTTAAAGTATTAATCTGAGATAAATAATTTAGCAAGTTAGGTAATTAATTTAAAATTATTTAAAGTAAAGATATGGTGAAAAATTATGAAGTTTGGCAGAAAAGGTCTTGGCAAGGGCAGGTATAAATATTAAAGAGCAGCACGGGGATGTACTCGCGAAAAACGAAGCCAGATTAGGTCTGGGGGGTAAGAATAGGTAAGAGTAGCCGGGTTAGGCCCGTGAAGTACTTATATTTAATTCAGATTATTTTCCCCGGTCAAGCAGGCAAACCCTTTTAGGCTTCCTAGAGAAGATGTTGTAGGATCTGTCCATGACAGCCCTGGGACGCTTGGCAGAGCTGGGTTCTTCCGGATTGTAAGCAGGAATGGCATGCAAAACCGGGTTGCTAATCTGTTCAATACGTTGAAAAAATTTAGCCGAAACATGCTTGAAAAAAGCATCAAGGGGAGGAATTTTGAGGTCAGAATGAAGTACTTCATTACGAACATACCAGTGAGCATTAGTAAGGATGCGAAGCGTGACGTTTTGAAAAACCTGGATCTTCTTTAGATGAGAGTTGGCTGCTATGGCCCAGATGGGAGCTGCATATGTGAGGATAGGCGATGATGGTACTGGAGTACAGAAGAACTTTATTCCGGAGGGAGAGGTGGCTGGATCTGGATAT